GTAAGAGGGTCGAACCCAAATTATATATTTGCTCAAGAACAATTCATAACACCAGTCTTGGCTGTTATGTTAGATGTTACAAGGTAGCTGTGACACTGTCGTATAGAATTAGTTGACATGGTCACTCGTATTGATGGATTTTACTGATAATAAAATATTAGACATGTATATGACAAGGTCACATGTATATGACAAAACTTCTGGATTTATGTGAAGTATGGTCGTGAATTTTAAATATATATGATTATGTTTGAGCTTATTAATTTTTATGATTTTAACACATTTTACAGACATTTTCAACGTTGGGATATGGCAATCATTGTCCAGCGATATTCATCCTAGTATGCCTAATCATCTTGTACAAATACTTCCAGATTATGTTCTATCGTCGAGGGCGGACAGCACTATACAGAAGTACAAATATGGGTTCAACTCTTGGTGTAAGTGGTCAAAATTACATTGTATTTCTTCATTACCAGCTTCTGATGTACATATTGCATTATACTTAGTTCATATATCAGAAACATTCAACTCTACAAGTAAAATAGATTAGCCTGTATATGCGATTTCTTGGGCGCACAAGTTAGCCGGTTTTCTGAACCCTTGCAAGTCTGACTTGGTAACTTCTGTTCGTGAAGGGTCATACAGAAAAAATGGACACAAAATTAACAAAAAAGAACCTATTACAGCTATCATTTTATTGAAAATTGTTCATATATGTGGTCAAAACTGTAATAATCTTAAAAGAAAAATTAAGTCCATTTATAAGTAATATACGGAAAAACAGGAAATAAATTTTTACAAAATTTCCTTCTAGATACTAGCTTTTGATCGTAAACAAGCTTCTGTCCAAGTTTGGTAAAATTTCTGGATAGTTTGAGAAAGTTATTAAAATTTTAAAAACTTAAACCACAGAGTGAATGTAATGTTAACTGGCAGAAAAACTAAGTCCATTTATAAGTAAAATACGGAAAAACTGGAATTTTTTTTTTACAAAATTTCCTTCTAGATACTAGCTTTTGATCGTAAACAAGCTTCTGTCCAAGTTTGGTAAAATTTCTGGATAGTTTTGAGAAAGTTATTAAAATTTTAAAAACTTTAACCACAGAGTGAATGTACTGTTAACTGGCAGAAAAACTAAGTCCATTTATAAGTAAAATACGGAAAAACTGGAATTTTTTTTTTACAAAATTTACTTCTGGATATTATCTTATGATCATAAACAAGCTTCTGTCCAAGTTTGGTACAAATCCAGGATAGTTTAAGAAAGTTATTAAAATTTTAAAAACTTTAACCACAGAGTGAATGTAATGTTAACTGGCAGAAAAACTAAGTCCATTTATAAGTAAAATACGGAAAAACTGGAATTTTTTTTTTTACAAAATTTACTTCTGGATACTATCTTATGATCATAAACAGGCCTCTGTCCAAGTTTGGTAGAAATCCAGGATAGTTTAAGAAAGTTATTAAAATTTCAAAAACTTTAACCACAGAGTGAATATTTGTGGACGCCGCCGCCGCCGACGACGCCGACGGAATGTAGGATCGCTATGTCTCGCTTTTTCGACAAAAGTCGAAGGCTCGACAAAAATGATCATATAACTTTTTTGTTATTTGGCGTATTTTTTTAACATTTGGAGACCTTTGAGACACTAAACTCATGCATTGTAATAATAAAAATCTAAAATAAACATTTAAAAAATGGTTTTGAGCAAAAATATTATGATCCAATATACGCTTTGAATACATTGAACTGATTGATAAAAAGTGTTAAAATCTCTTTTGTTTTACAATATTTTTTCGTGAAATTAAGAAATCTGCGATATTAATGAATATATTATATGAAAATATAACCTTAATAGAGAAAAAAATTTCTACAAAAAAAGTTGACCTGACGGATTTTACCAGTGCGAATCACGCTATGAATAATATTGACTTGATTGGCAGGAAGAGTTAATATTTCTCATATGTAACTATTTTTTCTGTGAAATTGATAAACCTATGCTTAGACAAAAATTTTCATTTTTCAACTAAAATGATGGTGATCATCGGTTCACATTTTAATCATGAATTTTTATTATTGTAAAAATTGTATTCTTGAAATTACTTGACAATAATTAGAACACGAAGACTGCTATCAACATTCTATATAATATAATATATATATCATTAATAATGGAATATTTACAAAATTCTTCATTGTTTAGATTCTAATTGCCACCTGATTATATAAGGTAATTCAATTAAATTTATTTGATGTCTCAGGTGTGAAAACTTAAATGACATGTTAATTGGCTTGATTGGTGATTACGACAAGTGTCAAAATTAGTTAATCTAATTAAATTTTGGTACTTTTATTGTGTCGGTGAACTTACTAAGGTCAACATTAATTTTGGACTCAAAAATATAGAATCTATATGTAAATGCTACATATACATGTACCAGTTTTTTCGATATAAAGTTTCAGTTCAACGATTTCTAAATGCATACAAAATTTGGTAAAAATCCGAAGTATTGTCAAATGATTTGAGAAGATACACACACAACATAAGAATCCAAAAACAGTCATCGAACTTTAACTTTTTGACAATTGAAAAGACACACTTATGATATGTTATCAGTCAACTCAAATATTACTGTCCTACAACAACTTCAGATATCTTTTTGAAAGTATTTGGTAGCCCTTAACACAGGATTGTTTTATATATATAACTCTAATGGAGAAAACTTTGATGTACAAACATTAGCCAAGTTTAATTTTGTTTGAAACAACTCTTGATATCAGCTTAACTAATTATTTTAATCACTTTAATAAAGTTTAATTATTTGTTGACAACAAATTTAATTAAATGTCACATTAACCATTTTGATTATTTATTGTAACAACTCTTAACATAAAATTAATAAAAAAGTGACCAAAAAAACTGATAAACAAAATAAATTTATCAAATAAATTACGTAATGCATCTAAACATTTTCAAAAAGGATTTAAAATTACAAAAAAGATTAAGAGTCATTCTCTGTAAGCACCAAAATGACAAGGAAATGGTATGTCATGAAATCGGACAAAACTTGGCTCAAAGGTGCATTACAAGCATAAAACATAATTCATATAAAAAAATTGTTAAAAAAAATATATGTTGCCATGGTAACACAACATATTTAAAAAGACTCTTTTTTTTTCATTCAAAAACTGATAAAAATACTAAGTTTTTTATTCAATCTTAACATAAAAAGGAAATATTTGTATTTCATCACTGCAGATACCCTAAAAAGGAACATTATAGTTCTTCTTAAAGTAAAAAAATGAAAGCTGTGCATATTTTTATTTTACTATACCAGCCTGTGGAACTCTGGGAAAACACACTTATTTTCGAATTTATTATTTTTAGCAAATTTCAAAACAAATTAAAAAAAAATCTGGACAACAGATCTGTGTGATTTTTTAGGGATAAATCTTAAATATATTGTTTTCAATGTATATTAATTTATAGATAGGTGATATTTAAAATAAAAAAGTTTAATGCATTGTTTTGACACTATATTTGCATATAATTTGTAAAAAAAATTGGTGAAGTTTTTGGGATTTGAAATAAAAATTTCTTTTTAAGTGCTATTTTGAATGTAATATATAATATAAATCAAATTAAGTACATTTGTTTAGTGCATATAACTGTCTATATAGTACAGCTAGTGCTAACAACACTATGTATTCCAACACACTTGTAAAGTTATCTCCCTTGTAAAGAACTCTTCCTGTTAGGAGGTAACAAATAAACAAGCTGTCAGCAGGCAACAAAATATAAACAGCCACCACATTAACTTTATAGTAGATTCAAGGCTTTGTGATCGACAAATAATGATTTAGTTTGATTGAAAATGACTTTCTGCCAGTTTGGATCGTTATCGAAAGAATTTATCAGATGGTCTGAAGACTTTTTCCATTTAAAAACATGTTCCTATAATGACATTAATATGAGGAAGGCGCTACCTTAAATGCCAGCTTACCAAGACTATGTACATGTCCTTCATATTAATTGATTGTTGGTTTGCTTAACGTCCAGTGGCAAATATTTCATGCATGTGCAGGACGAATGTCCGACATATAGTTTTTGACTCAAATAAAATAATAAGTTCAGATGGAAAATGTTTAGGGAACGATCATATTGAACTTCAAAAGGCGGGAGGGGGTATGGTTTTTTTCTTAAAAAAATATTCTGAATCCCGAAGTTGATGAAAAAAATTTATTCTGAATCCAGATTTTCCCCATACCGTCCCATGCAGTGTTAAATTTTGACCAAATAATTTTGTTTGATAGCGTTGAACTTGAAGCGCTTCACGTGAAAAAAAATCTGACTCAAACAAAAAAACATACATTATTTGTACCTCCCCCTTTGAACATGGAACAGTCTCCGGGACAAGTTTGCACTTCCGCTGAGTGCAAAAGTTGTCACCTTAATTTTTGGAGTTAAGTCAAAATGAAGTTGATAACTTGGTTGGTATTGGTTCCCTGATATTTGTCCTAAAAAATTTTGGCTCTAGCACCACTGTTGAAAAAGTTATGCCCCTTTATTCAACAATTTCCTCAGAGGAAAAATATTTTTCCTCAAGGGAAATTGTATTTTCCTCAAAGGAAAAAGATTTCCCTTAGGGAATTTGCTGCATTAATATTTCCTTTGAGGAAATTCTATTTCCTGTTAGGAAATTTGCAGCTTCAAATTTTCCTTTGAGGAAATTCGAATAACAAAAATTTCCATAGTTCTCCAAATTTCCTCTATGGAAATTTTTGTTATTCAATTTTCCTCTATGAAAATTTCATAACAGTAAAAACAATATGAATATAATTTTTCCTGAGACTTAATAATTGATACAAAAGATAATTAAAACTTTAATAAAATGTTCACTGATGATTAACATGACATACAAAAACAATAGGCTAGCTGTTTGAGACAATACAATAATAAGCAAAACGCTATGAATATCATACTATTAATTTTGTGATGTTATTAATATTGTGCTCATATTTGCAGATTAAATAAAATAACCACTTTTCATGTTAATTTAACTTTTCTTCTGTTTAAGCTGCTGCATACAATTATTCAATCCCCTACATAACAGTTCAGTGCATAAATAATTCCATCCACCAGACATCTTCCTTCAATTGGTAGAGAATACAGTTTTGCAATTTGTTCTTCAAACATCTTCCTCTGTATATTTGATGTGACAGAGCTATGAACATGAATGGATAAAGCAGGTGTTTATTTCGACAACAAAATACTATTTTTTCTACATTTCTCCATAACCCTTCAGTGAATATGTAGGTTGTTGCAATTACACAATTGTGTTCTTGTGCATCTATGATTGTACTCCATTTTGTTTACAACCATTTTGTAGAAATTTCCTATTTTCTTTTTCCAGGTAAGCACACATTTCATTTCACATTAATCCAATTAGCACACAATGTAGAAAAGTATCAACCTTAAGTTTCCTCTTCTGTATAGACCTGTTGATGATCATGAAAACCAAGAAGTCTCACCTATAAATACACAAAATATAAATTGAGAAAAAAAAACAGCAATATGAAATAAGCTTATTTTATCATGTTTAATATGAACATTTTGAGAAACTTAAATTTGATATTCTTACTAATCATGATTATGAGTTCTGTTATTTCAGTGCTTTGTGTCCACGACTTAATATCAGTCGTTTTAGTGCCTTGCAGTGATAATGAGTTGAGCCACTTGCAACAGTTTTTACTGAGTTTGTTCATATGTTGTGCTATTTGAACCACTGTCCTAGATTATGGTTAGGTGGAGTGCTCACAGACATGATTTTTTTATTAATTTTTATTGGCTTTGAACTAATTTTTTCATGTTGGTCTTTATTGGCTGACTTATAAGGTATGGGTTTTCTCATTATCGAAGACCGTCATTGGTCTTTAATTGCTTGCATCCACTTCATTAAACTCTGGTGGATAGATAACTCATTTACCATACCACATTTTCTTATTTTTATAAAAGTCATCATTCAAGGGCAATCACTTTTATTATATAGAAGTGGTCTTACCATTTAGGCCTTGTTGTCTTCTGTTTATCTTGTTTTGTCGATCATTTCTACTGTACAGTTGTAATTGTTTATATTTTTCTTTATCTTCTATATTTCTTGCCCTAAACTTAAAAAAAGGTAAAAACTATAATTTAATGACTATAACTATTATTATACATCAGTATGTGTTTTTCTATATACCATGATATAAAAAAGGAATGAAATATTTGTGCTATTTCATTTCACAAACTATTTGCCAGTCAACAGTTTCAAAGACATAACCATGGTCAATAGTTTAACAAACAAACATTCCCGTACTTTTTCATCGTGTTCATACTAATTTTTCAATGGACAACAATGACGTGATTAACTATTCTTCTATGATTTGTGTGCTTGACAACATTAAACTCTGAAATATTGTTGACGGTATAATCTATGTGTCTGTCGTCAAAATTTCAAATTAATATATTACCATGATTACTTACAGAAGCAATTAAAACAAGAGGCTCACAAAATGAATGTGGTCTAAGAACTTAAATATTTCTAATTTACCTATTCAAACCATATCATTATTATTTGCTTTTATATATAAATCAGAAATAACCAATTTAAAATGGAAAATTTTAAAGAAAACAAAAGGAAAAAAAGGAAAAAAAGGAAAAAAAATCCCCCCCTAAATTTTTTGAACCCCCTTATGATTCATCACACCCAAACGCAATCCCAGCCTTCCCTATGTGGTATGGTACCTTGCAGTACAATTTCAGAGAGATCCATACACTTGAACACAAGTTATTGTCTGGAAACTAGAAAAATGCTTGTTTTTTTTGCCCCTTTTTGGTCTCAAATTCCTAAACATTTAAGGCAATTGCCCCCAAACTCAATCCCAGCTTTCCCTTTGTGATATGGAACCTTGTAGTACAATTTCATAAGATCCATACACTTACACACAAGTTATTGTCCTAATACTAGAAAAATGCTTGTTTTTTGCCCCTAATTCCTAAAATTTTGAGGCAATTACCCCCAAAATCAATCCCAGCCTTTCCTTTGTGGTATGGTACCTTGCAGTACAATTTCAGAGAGATCCGTACACTTGAAGTTGAACACAAGTTATTGTCTGGAAACTAGAAAAAAACTTATTTTTGGCCCCTTTTTTGGCCCCTTATTCCTAAACATTTTGGGCAATTACCCCCAAAATCAATTCCAGCTTTCCCTTTGTGATATGGAACCTTGTACTACAATTTCAGAAAGATCCATACACTTACACACAAGTTATTGTCATGAAACTAGAAAAATGCTTCTTTTTTGTCCCTTTTTTGGCCCCTAATTCCTAAAATTTTGAGGCAATTACCCCCAAATTAAATCTGAGCATTCCCTTTGTGATATGGAACCCTGTGGTACAATGTCAGAGAGATCCATACACTAACACACAAGTTATGTCTGGAAGTTACAAAACTGCTTATTTTTGGCCCCTAATTCCTTAAATGTTGGTACCATAACCCCCAAAATCAATCCCAACCTTCCTTTTGTGGTATTGAACCTTAAGGTAAAATTTCATAGAGATCAATTCACTTAAACTAAAGTTAGAGTGCGAAAACCAATGTGTCTTTGGACGACGACGACGATGCCAACGTCATACCAATATTATGACTGCAAAATTTTTTTGCAGTCGTATAAAAACTGCAAAGTTTCCTTAAAATTACCAATCTTGTGGTAGCAACCCAACAATGGATTGTTAGATTCATCTGAAAATTTAATGGCTGATATAACTTGACATAATGAACAATTTTACCTCACATAAGATTTGCTCTAAATGCTTTAGTGTTTGAGATATATAAGCCAAAAACTGCATTTTACCCCTATGTTCTATTTTTAGACATGGCAGCCATGTTTATTGATGAAACAGAAAATAAAACACAAGCTTTATTCTAAATACTATAAGGATCATTCAGCCTAAGTTTGGTTGGAATTGGTTCAATAGTTTCAGAGGAGAAGATTTTTTAAAGTTAGAAAACATGATAAACAAATTGTGTAAAATTGTCGTTAAAGTGCAATAACTCCTTAAGGTGTCCATTGACAATTTTGGTTATGAAACTTATTTGTAGATCTTACTTTGCTGAACATTTTTGCTGTTTACAGTTATCTTTATCATTAATAATATTCAAGATGATAACCAAAAACTGCAAATTTTCCTGGAAATTACCAATTTAGTGACAGCAACCAAACAATCATGACAATGGGTTATTAGATTCATCAGAAAATTTCAGGGCTGATAGAACTTTGAACACCTAATGAACTATTTACTCTGTGTCAGATTTGTTCTAAATGCTTTGGGTTTTGAGATAAAAGCCAACAAGAGTGCACACACTGAAATGTCTCGCCTTCTTTACTAACCATTGATATTATGTTGATAGTCCTAAATGAAAGCTTTACTACAACTATTACATAAACTTAACATGATCCAAGAAAATGAAGTCAAGGTCATATAAACCAAACGAGATATACATGTACACCTTACAATCATTCAATACACTAAATATAGTTGACCTATTGCTTATAGTTTCTAAGAAACAGACTTAACCAAGAAAACTTAACACTGAGCAATGAACCGTGAAAATGAGGTCAAGGTCAAATAAAACCTGCGAGACTGACATGTACATCATAGAATATTTCCATACACCAAATATAGTTGACTTATTGCATATAGTATAAGAAAAAAGACCAAAACTCAAAAACTTAACTTTGACCACTGAACCATGAAAATGAGGTCTAATCAGATGACACCTGCCAGTTGGACATGTACACCTTACAATCATTCCATACACCAAATATAGTAGACCTGTTGCATAAAGTATAAGAAAAATGGACCAAAACACAAAAACTTAACTATAACCACTGAAACATGAAAATGAGGTCAAGGTCAGATGACACCTGCCAGCTAGACATGTACACCTTACAATCATTCCATACACCAAATATAGTAGACCTATTGCATACAGTATAGGAAAAACAGACCAAAACACAAAAACTTAACTATAACCACTGAACCATGAAAATGAGGTCAAGGTCAGATGACACCTGCCAGTTGGACATGTACACCTTGCAGTCCTTCCATACACCGAATATACTAGACCTATTGCTTATAGTATCTGAGATATGGACTTGACCACCAAAACTTAACCTTGTTCACTGATCCATGAAATGAGGTCGAGGTCAAGTGAAAACTGTATGACAGGCATGAGGACCTTGCAAGGTATGCACATACCAAATATAGTTATCCTATTACTTATAATAAGAGAGAATTTAACATTACAAAAAATCTTAACTTTTTTTTCAAGTAGTCACTGAACCATGAAAATGAGGTCAAGGACATTGGACATGTGACTGACGGAAACTTCGTAACATGAGGCATCCATATACAAAGTATGAAGCATCCAGGTCTTCCACCTTCTAAAATATAAAGCTTTTAAGAAGTTAGCTAACGCCGCCATCGGATCACTATCCCTATGTCGAGCTTTCTGCGACAAAAGTCGCAGGCTCGACAAAAACTGCATTTACCCCTATGTTCTTATTTAGCCATGACAACCATGTTTTTTGATGAAACAAAAAACAAAACACAAACTTTATTGTAGATACCCTAAGGGAGCTACCATTTGATTTTTATGGGGGGGCTAGGATGAAAAATTTGGTCCTGTATTTTTTTTTAGTTGTAATCTCTGTCCTGCCTTTTTATTTTTCACTCTATTCGGTCCTGCCTTTTTATTATTACTTTATCCTGACTTTTTTTACATAAATTGTCATCCTGCCTTTTTTTTTTTTGCCAAGTTGCTCATCCTGCCTTTTTTTTTACTCAAAACTCCTGTCCTGCCTTTTTTTTCAAATTTCATCCTAGCACCCCCCCCCCCCCCCCCCCCCCCATAAAAATCAAATGGTAGCTCCCTAAAGATCATTCAGCTTAATTTTGGTAGGAATTGGTTCAGTAGAGGAGAAGATGTATGAAATAGTTTACATCCGACGGACGCCAACGGTTGACAACAGACAACGACAGACGCCAAGTGATGGCAAAATCTCACTGTTCCTTCGGAACGATGAGCTAAAAAGGCAAATTTAAAAAATTGCGCTGGCTCTATCCAAAAAGGATTTTTACAGTGTAGTGTACTACTTTTGGGACAGGACATATTAACATAATAGAAAAATCTGTTAGCTATAACTCAAAATATGGACAATTTTATGTTTAAAGGGTCTATAATTTAGTTTGACAACTTCAGACATACTAATATTTGACCTTTTCAAACTATACCAAATCACTACTTAAGGATGCTCGCTACTCTGTTTCAAAATAACAAGCTTTTTAAAAGACTGTTATAAATTGAAAGTATATGAATAAAGGAACTAAAAAAACAGAAAAAATGAAGGGTCCGTGTGCTTGTTTTTAAGATATAAGCCATAAAAAATTTGGCGGGAAGTGATTCTCTCTAGATTTTTCATACACTTAACACTGGCACCTTTTTCTTTCAAAAGCTATGGAAAAATAACAAAGATTTTATAAGATTTTCAAATATGGCTTTTTAAACTACGTAATAAAAATATGAAAAGAAATGTAGGGGTTTGCGGCCAAAATGTTTTAATGGCACTGCATGGATAAAACCAGAGGATTCCTAATATCTGGTAAAAATTCAAAATCAAGAGGAGGGAACATCCCTAACCTAAAAAAAATTGCCACATTTTTTTCCAATGTAATTTCATCCGTAATATTTAAAGCAATAAAATTTGGAAGGAGTATGAAAATAAATTGCAAGTTATACACTATCCACACTAGACACCTAATAGAGTATAAATACTAATTTTAATCAAACTTGGCATGAACTAAGATTAGGGAATTATAAGACAGTTTACCTAGTTTCATGGCAATTATGCATATATACATTAAAGACTAGAAGTTCATTCTCATGTTTGAACTTTGGGTGTTAATTTTTTGCCGTTTAAAGTTTAACGTTTAACTATCAAGATTTGGGCCTACATAATTTGCAAAAAAATGCTTTTTAAATGTCTTTATCATGTTTATAACTGTTTATATATAATTGTGTATGTCACATGTATGTACATGATGTATTTTAATGTAAAGCAGCTGAATACTCATTTGCTGTCTCAGATTTATTTCAATTCTTCAAAAGTCGAATTTATATGAGCCTATGTCTGAAAATAGAGATTTCAAATTAAGGGGGGAGGAGGCTAATATAAAAATTCTTCATGTATATTTAAAAAGTTATTTGTATTTCAGAAGGAAAGAAAGTGACTTATCTGCTTATAGCATACCACATGAGTAGAACAAGGTCCCATTAGGCCATGCAAGACTGAAGAACATTTAAGGTCAATAATTAGGCAGTAACACATTTTTACATGTATATGAAAAGGCATACACATAAGCTAGAGGAAATAAAAATGTGTTTCTTTTTAGTAATTTGTAGGCTAAGCTAGGTGACATCATACAAGAAGTATGAGTGATTCTCAAACTAAAATAAAATAATTTCATCCCCCTACTTGACGGTACTTCATTGTACTTACTTTTTATGCATAAATAATATAAATAAATAAATTTTGAAGTAATACATGGTCCACACTAGGGAATCTTTTTGTAAAAAATGAAAATCAATGGATGATAACTGTGTACTTGGACTAACAATTAAGATTTCACATGCTGAAATGTCTCGTCAGCCCAATCTCAATCAGTGAAATAAATTATTGTTTGTTTTTTTTTAAAGTCATATGAAAGTAGTCCAAATAATTATGACGCATTGCAAGCCTTTTTTTTTCTCTCTGACGCCGTAGGAAGGAGATGTGAGTTGACATAACATGTATGTTATCATGCAAAATCAACAGTAATGAGTATACCTATGATTGTCATCGTCACTGCAAATGGATCATTAATACTAGGGGGAATGGAACCAATAAATTGATCGGAACACTGAATCTCGTATAAAATGGTCAACCGAAATCTCTGAAAAATTACCAGTTCTACAAGGTGTTAAACAAGGTGGTCTATTGAGTGCTGATCTATATAAGGTATATATATCGAAGATCTTCTTAATACATTTGAAAATACTACATCTGGATGTGAGATAGGTGAAACGCTGATTAATGCAGTAGCATGTGCCGACGACGTAGCAATCGTTAGTGAAAATCCACATGATCTACAATACCTTGTGAATATTGCTGCACAATACAGTGAAGACCATCACTACCTCTTACAACCTCTGAAAAGCGTAGTTCTACAAGTACAACCCTCAAACCGAAAAAAACCGGACGTTCGAGTATGCATATCCATAAATAACAATACAATGCCAGTTACAGAAAAATCTCCACACTTGGGCATTATAAGATCAACAACCAGTCAAAAAACACAAGATGCTACTATTGAACAGAATATCACAAAATCAAGACGAGCTGCCTACAGCTTAACTGATGTCAGCCGGTATGCATGGAGAAAATGGACTTGACCCTAGTACTGCTATCCAACTATTTAGAACCTTCGTACAACCTATCCTAACATATGGTCTCGAAGTCATACTACCAACTTCTCAAAACCTACTTAAATTGGAAAAGTTTCAGAAGAAAATATTAAAACAAATTTTATCCTTACCAATTTCGGCTCCTGATCCTAGTATATACATCCTGTCTGGCATTCTACCTATAGAAGCTCAAATTGATCAAAAATCATTAAACCTATTTAACAACATTTGAAATCAAAATGAAGAAAATTTGGAAAAGAAAATAGCAAGAAGGCAATTAATCACAAAAAATGAAGAAAGTAATAGCTGGTTCATAGCGATCAAGAGAGTACTATTCAAATATGATTTACATTCACCAATCATACTTCTGAATGATCCACCAACAAAATACTTTTGGAAGAAATCCGTCCGTTCAGCGATCGACCGCTACTGGAAAAATGTATTAATACAAAAGAGTTGTACTTATAAATCTTTGAAATACCTTGGAACATTGAATACTTCACCAGGAAAATGCCATAATTTATTATTCATTGGAAATACAAGTGATCCAACCAGAGAGGCTGTCCGGTTATCTGTGAAATTGAAGGTTATTACTGATACGTACATTCTACAATCCCATAGATCAAGATATAACCAGAACGAAACTATTGTAATAAAAAAATCTACCATTTATGGTAATAAGAAGTTGGTTTATATTTGCGTAATGTAACATGGTCTGCTTACTGTTCTTTTCCCTCAGACTCTCAACAGACGAACTACATCTGTGAGAGCTGGTTCTGATTTTTACATGTTCGGGGAAACTAGCTTAGAACAATGCCTTTGATGGTGTATGGCATTGCTGCCGATGTAAAGGCAGGCCGGGCGTTGTTGCCGATGTAGAGGCAGGCCGGGAACGACAACAGGAAAGAAAACCAAACTAGAACATCAAGAAACTCGCTATTAATATTATAGCGGCTTGATCAGTTTATATACTAATTTCTGAATGTCCTAGTAACCCTTAACTGATTGCAACAAACAAAAGAATTTATGCTTTATGAGTTATAAATAAAGTTGCTGACGCAGGTTGACCGCTGTCTAACTTCTAAGACCTTATGTTAAACTCTGCCAGACATACAACTGGAGGTCAGTCTGGCATCAGCCGAAGTTTTATAGAACAGATATGTTTAATAGTGTATTAGAGTACTTATCTGACACATTTGAAACATAAAATCAAAGGAATAATTGTTTCGTCATCTATATCCAAAATTTATGTCAAATATCTGTCACAATATATCACTCTCCTTAGAAATTTTGGACTCCAAAATTAAATAAATATAAAAAAAAATATTTTAAAGAAATCGCATACAATTTTATGTTTACTATATTAATCTGAAAATGGATTTATAACTTTTAATTATTAACGTAAATAAATAATTAATATCCATATTAAACCTCAAAACAATATAGAAGACAAGCAATTGAGAAGATTGCGATGCAAAAAAAAATAAAGTATAGTATTTTGTTTTTGATTTTAAGCGATAAAAAATAACTTGAATTTATTTTTTTAAATATTTTTCTCTTTTTTTTTCTTTTTTTTTTTTTATTTTTGAGACTGCATGTTAGTCATACTGTTTAATTGGTGGTTTTATTGTAATTCTTTATAAATCAATTGATGTCTATGATGTTACAATATTTTGGTATTAATTTTAAATCGTTGCTCTTGAAAGTTTGTTACCCGCATGCTTACAATTGAACGTTTATTTTTACAGTTTATGAAATTTAATCAAAAATATATGCAAAGTGTTTTAAACAAAATGTTGCAAAAATTTATATGAAATATGAAAAGACTAGAATAAAACTTTAACAGAATTTGAATTGCTTACTTCAGTCTCTAAGTTACTGTTTAATCGATTGTATGGCGTTCCTGCTTCTGAGGTTACCCATTATATTAAATATTTGTGGCGTCCCTGCTCCTGAGGTAGCCCTTTATGTTAAGTATTTGTGGCGTCCCTGCTCCTGAGGTAGCCCTTTATTTAGTATTTGTGTGGCGTCCCTGCTATTCAGGTAGCCTATGCAATATGCTTGCCTATATATATATATATATTAAATTATTATTACTTTGTTCCGGTATTAGATTATCCAACAGTAAACGGCAACAAGAATTTGTCTAACTTGTTCCTAAAAGGTAACTTACAAACAAGGAGATTTACTTTATGTAACCCTAAATGAAAGTTGAACCTAATCTTAAAGATGACTGATTGCAAATGATAATATTGACAAGCGTTTGAAATACAAACATAGTTCTAATTAACATTATTCTGAAAAGTTATTCAATGGATGATTTAAATGAATAAAATTTTACAACATTTTATCAAAAAATAATTTTATAACTTATTTAAACAGTATTTTAATAAAGTTTTTCTTAAAATTTTAAGACATGAAACGCAATACGATTTGTGAAATGAGAATGAACATTTTGTTTCATAGCTGAAAATTTAAAATTTTAAATTTAGATTGTAAAATAGATTTTAAATAAGCATTTGATATACTCACAGTTTCATGAAAATATATGTTTACAATAAAAATACACAACAATATAACTTTAAAGTTATTAATGTCACTGATGTTGATAAAAGTTCTTCTTTGAAAATAATGCATTATATATATGTTCTTTGATATTCAGCTGGTGTCGTTGTTCAATGGTGTATTCTGATTAATTCACAAATAAATCATTTACTGGAAATACATATGAAATTAAATAGTCCGAACGGTACAAAAATAATGTTCAATAAATATTCCTGTTCGAATTGTCGAAACGCTAGCATGCTGTAAGGTCTGGATGTCGATGTTTGGTGTCAGCTTTTAAAAGTCGTCCAGCATTTATTAACGGGCCTCCACCAATTATTGTATCTAAAGAATCCACCAATTATTGTATTATTGTATCAAAACGAATAAACGAATACTCCACCAATTATTGTATCAAATGAATGATCCAATTATTGTAATAAGATGTTGGTTGATATTTGCGTAATGTAACATGGTCTGCTAACTGTTCTTTTCCGTCAGACTCTCAACAGACGAACTACATCTGTGAGAGCTGGTTCTGATTTTTACATGTTCGGGGAAACTAGCTTAGAACAATGCCTTTGATGGTGTATGGCATTGCTGCCGATGTAAAGGCAGGCCGGGCGTTGTTGCCGATGTAGAGGCAGGCCGGGAACGACAACAGGAAAGAAAACCAAACTAGAACATCAAGAAACTCGCTATTAATATTATAGCGGCTTGATCAGTTTATATACTAATTTCTGAATGTCCTAGTAACCCTTAACTGATTGCAACAAACAAAAGAATTTATGCTTTATGAGTTATAATGAAAGTTGCTGACGCAGGTTGACCGCTGTCTAACTTCTAAGACCTTATGTTAAACTCTGCCAGACATACAACTGGAGGTCAGTCTGGCATCAGCCGAAGTTTTATAGAACAGATATGTTTAATAGTTTATTAGAGTACTTATCTGACACATTTGAAACATAAAATCAAAGGAATAATTGTTACGTCATCTATATCCAAAATTTATGTCAAATATCTGTCACAATAAAACACCTATCTGTATTATGTGATATAGATACCGAAGATCGTTCTCATTTTTTACTTAAATGTAAAATTCTTCAATGCATTAGAGAAACTTATCTCAACCAAATTGACGAAATTATTACTGATTTTTTTAACTTTAGAATGAGGGACATACCAACTGATGACCAAATACAAATTATCTTGGATTGCACCGTGTTACTTTCCCGGTATACAAGTGATAACAAATTATACCAAAGAATAGAAGATATTTCAAGACAGTTGATTTATGCTCTTCACGTAGCTAGATATAGAACGTTGGACATTAAGAAAAGATAAATGTAATCTATCTAATAGAGAAATAAATATATTGCTAGTGTGCCGTGAACTTTTAGTGCTAATTTCACCCTGATGACTATAGTGTATATATGGTGTATATAAAAATTGGTGATGGATTTTACTATGGTGACGGATTACTGTACACAAAGATGACAGAATAATACTCATTTGAGGTTGTCCCAACGTGGACGGAAGAAGATTACCAGAAGAAGATCCGATATGAAGTTCCCAGTAACGGAGAACCTCTAACTTTGAGGTAATATTATTAGTGTCGGTGGTCTCACAAATGAATCAGGGTGAATTGCAGGTACATTAATTAGCAGAGAATAGACAATTATTAACTTTTTATTCATTATCTCGCAGTTATTTACGGTTAATTAGCTGTATATATCCCAAAACAGGTGCTCGCAGCTAGTACTACTACTAGTCTATGACTTTTAAGTAACAATTATATTTATATTCACAATCAGTGGCGGATCGAAGGGGGATGGGATCCGGGGTTTTGACTCCCCTTTTTGTGAACGATCAGTGCATTTAATGGAGACATATATTTG